TTTCCAAAATATTGTTCAAATTGTTACTGCCTTTAGTTATTATTTTGGAATAAATATAAAAATGCATAAACACACTATGAAATGTATAATTAGTATTAAAAATATTAAATTAAATTAAATAATATTAATAAAATACAAAATAGAATTATATTTGTTCTTTTTTTATGTAATATTTATTTAACCAGGACTGCCTACTCATTTTAAAACACCACCGCACACCACTGATAAGCAGATGTTGCTTCAAGACCTTGAGCTCAGCAACTTAAGGTAAAACTCTCCAACAATGGCCTCCTGGTATCCAGACTTTTTAAAGGTATCAGTTCCTCAGAGAGAAATGAAGTTGTTTTAGGTATTGTTTTTTATTTTTTTTAGTGCCAGAGGACACTAGACAGTAATTAGTTTGGTCTGACACAAACCAAAAATATAAAGGGACCACCATTTTAAATGTGATCAGGGATATAAAAATGCATTTTACACATTTCATTTAGCATTTTATTAATATTTAATCTATCTGTACATGCATACATACTGTATGTAGTGTACATACATATATGCAATGATTGCAATGCTAATGCAATAAATCAATCAGTAATACTATTTTTTTATTATTTTTCTAAACCTTTTAAATGGTTTAGAAAAATAAAAAATAAGTATTACATATCTCAGGTGTCTAGCTCTCACCCTAACCCATTTTAGTTATCTAGCACCCTTATCGATTGGGAAACTCTGGTCTGGAGGCTTTCAAAAACTAGAGATAATTGAATTCAATGAGAATCTCCCCATCAACCCTTTATCAATTTTATGTAGCTAATATAATCCAAACCTCTTGAGGCTAATGTTTGTTGTGCTCACCAGACCAATTAAAGACACACTCACACGCTCTTATTACACCGCAGCGATTAACCACTATTAAAACCCCGTCCAACAGGAGGACTGCACAATTACAACCAATTATTTTGTCAGCGCTTTTAATGCTGTCTACCAATATCCATGACCTTAACCACTTAACCGTCACAATAGAAAAAAATTGCAATCTGCAATCTGATCAATTTTAATTAATCTATTATGGCAAGGTACATCTCTGAAAGTTTTTTACCCTACAATGTGAACATTTACTGTGTCAAGTTCCATTATAAATAAAACATTAATAAGATGGGAGAATAGTCCCATAATAGTTAAAATAGTTTAAACATTTATAGTTTAAACATTTAATAATGAATTTGAGGCATTGTAAAATGGACTCAATTCAGGGTGAAAAGAATAGACCAGATTTCTAATAATATGCATTGGCTAAAATTTCACTCTGGTTCTCCCTTCCTTATATGGGACATTTTATGACAAAATTAGCCTGAGCTTTATTAAAATGCCAACAGACTCTTAGAAATCACTGATTTAATCCACTCTGAATTGATAACCCAATAGTAGTAGTAATGGTAGAAATCTGCATTTCCATATATATTTAAGAATCTCAATGTCTATTCAACAACTCTAAAAAGTGTGAACAAGACATTTATTATGCCATAAGTATTTTATGTAGACACTTTCTATATTTTAAAATCCAGTTAGAAATAAAAACTGTAATAAGTTTAGATTTCACTCAACAATTCCAGTTCCTTAACATTGCATGCCTTATTAAGAACAACATAATACAGAATAACAAAATAAAAAAAAAAATAATAATAATTAAATCTCACTAAATGAAGTGTGTACATGCAACACAAACGCTCAAGACTAATTTGTGAGTCTTTTTGAAAAACAAAAAACAAAAAGTATAATCATTTACTTACCTTCATATCATTGTCAACCCATAAGACTTTCATCTTTGGATTTTAGTATTCTGTCATAATTTAGTCCATCCACAAAAGTTTATGTAATCAGCATTTGCAAATTTCAAAACACATCATAGAAGTAATCCATATAAATTATACAGTCACACTTCTCGCTATTAAGAAACCATTAACTACGACTTTTGCATCAATAAACTCCTAATTTGCTGCTTATTAAAAGTTAGCAAGGTGTTGTTAAATTTAGATATTGGGTAGGATTAGGAATGTAGAATATGTGCTTTATAAGTACTAATAAAGAGCCAATATGTTCTTAATAGGCATGCTAATAAGCAACTATGTTAGTTAATAGTGAGAATTGGCCCCTTTGTTAATGTGTTACCGATTATACAAAGCGATTATATATTTTCAGATTACTTGGATTAAATCGCTTGCTTCATATGGATAACTTTTATGACGAAATGTATAAACAATTTTTCTAAGATCTCATGAATATTGAATTACATGAGGGTAAATATTAAATAGAGTAAATTTTTCATTTTTGGGGTGAACTATCCTTTTAATAAACACACTGATGTTTGAGAAAAGTACATTATGTCCACCTACCCACACATCTGGGCAGGGCTGCACTCCACATTCTCCGGCCTCCACCCAAGCAAGTGATCTTACTCTCGCCTTCCAGACGGTAGCCCGCAAAGCAGGAAAAGACCAGCGAGTCGCCGACCCCGAACTGGAAGCCCACCCTCCTGCTGTATGCGGGTACTCCCGGATCCTCACATGGCTCCAAGCTGTACTCTGTGGTACAGAGTCATGATAACTCTTAAACCTCCAGACTGCTTAGCCAAGCATGGGTTAGAGTAAGCACCATGACAACCGTGCCTTCAAGCACACTATAATGAACAGAATGAGTGATGCCCTCACCAGAGAAGGTGATATTGAATCCCTCGTATGACATGGAGAAGTCCGAGACGAAGCGTAGCTGGACGCTGAAGTTGCCAAACAGGCCTGCTTTGATGGAGGGCGGCAGGACGGAGCCTGTGAGCCTGGCCACCGGCTCTGTGAAGCTGCCGTCCTCGGTAATGAGCAGGTAATCATGCGAAAACCTGAATATGCGTTGCATCTGCTGCCTACTTATACTCACGCTGTGATCAGCAGCAGCTGGATGCAATAATCGCATGCCAATGTGCATTGGCTCGTTTAGTTTACACTCGAAGTGGATTGGTCCCTCTAAGCGAGATCCCAATTTCGTCGGTCAACCGACGTGACGTCTCCGTTCCCTCCTTCAGGGAACGAGGGTTACATACGTAACCGAGACGATTTGAGTAACAGTCATTTTAACACAGGTAATTGGTGGCACTGATTGTTGGTTGGAAAATAAGCTTTAGTTGGTCAAAGATTACATCACCTAGTAAATATTCATGATGTTAAGTTAAATAATCCTACCCCCCAGCCCCCACACACACTTTTCAGGATGTTCACTACTAGCCATAGGAATGCATCATTCCTGTTCAAATTTTTTTCACAAATTTGTAGTAAATGTTTATGTTTGGTGCGAAAAGGCCTTTGGGCAAATCCCTATTAACCATGGTATAATCACTCCGATCCAGTGCCTGAAGTGGGTTTTGCTGTTTGACTCTAGTGTAGGTTGTTTATGGCTGCCAAACAATGCAGCAACATTATAACTTGTAGGTCCCCCTTCATGCTGCCAAAACAGTTCTGATGCATGAACTCCATACGACCTGTGGTATCTGGCACCCAAGACATTAGCAGCAAATTCCTACAAACTATGAGGCCCATGGGTTTGTTGGTCCATCACATCCCACAGATGCTCAACTGGATTGAAATCTGAAGAATTTGGAGGCCAAGGCAACACCTTGAACAATTTGTCATGTTCCTCAAACTATTCCTGAACATTTTTGCAGTTTGGCAGGGTGCATTTATACTGTTGAAAGAGGTTACCGCCATCAGGGAAGACACTGCCATGAAGGAGTGTACATGGTCTGCAACAATATTTGTAGGTGGTACGTGTCAAAGTAACATAAATGCCAAGATCTAGGTTTCTAAGCAGATCCTAACACTGCCTCCACCGGCCTGCTTTCTTCCCATAGTGCATCCTGCTGCCATCCCACAACACACACGTACCTGGCCATCCACCTGGTCTTCGTGGGCACTCTGACCATTCTGTGGCAGCAACCTGCAATGCACTGTGTGCTCTGACACCTTTCTGTATTGGCTAGTATTACGTTTTTTTTTAGCAATTTGAGCTACAATAGCTCTTCTATGTGATCGGACCAGAAGGAGTAGTCTTCGCTCCTCATGTGCATCACTAGCTTTGTGGGCCCATGCCCCTGAAGCTGGTTCCCTGGTTGTCCTTCCTTGGAAATTTTGTCAGGCACTAACCACTGCATACAAGGAACACCCCCAGAAAACTGGAGATTTTTGGAGATGCTCTAACCCAGTCATTTACCCAGTCGACTGACTCACTTTTTGCCTAATACCCCTTCAAAGGTGCCACTGTTACAATATAATCAATGCTATTCATTCAGTTCGCCTGTCAGTGGTTTTAATGATGTGGCCGATCAGTGTAGTGCATTAACCAGAATGTTTAAATGACTGAGAATATGGCTCGACAAATCTGAATTTTAAGTCTGAACTCTCCATTTAATAATAATAATCAGCCTGACAGGAAGGAAATGTGTAATCTTCTATGAACATGTATTTACATTCCCACAAACAAATGGGGAGTATCTGTCCTGTCTGTAATGAAGGTCAGGCTCTGGTGAGAGCCCATCATGCTGAATCAATGTCTGTTAGAGCAAACGCACAGAGCTGATAAGATGCAGGCATAAGAGAACATTGGGAATTCTAGAACAGACAGGCAACAGCCTGATTGCTCTTACGGGAAAACAAGTTGTTTACTTCAATCCCTGTAATCGGAAAACAAATAAGATAAACAGCTTTATAGAGCACTTTCCTGTAGGTATCTGGTTAAGGACTTCCATTATTTTTTCCCACTTCCCTGTCCTTTTCTCCTCTCCATTTAAGGTTATCTATGAAACAGCGCATGCCAGTCACCTCTCCTCTAATCAAAAATGTATGAACTCAAATCTCAGAGGAGTGTTAAGAGGGTTTACTCTTTCCCCTCTGATAAAACTGTAATGCTGCCTAGCAGGGTTGGATTATGGCCCGGACCAGTGCCCTCAGGCCACAGATTTTCCGGGGCCTCCAAAGTCTTCACCAAAGGAAGCTGAACCCCTGGGTCCAATTTTTAGGCGTCTTTACACTGGGTGGTAGGGAGGAGCTGTTTCTCTTGTACATGACCAGAACTGAGAGAGCACAACATGGCCTACCGTCACAGCTGGGCAGGGCGTGGTTCCACTGATGGTTCCTCTCACACACAATGGGTTCATCATCACTCAGAGTATAGCCTTGATCACAGCTGAACGTCACTCTGGAGCCGATGGCAAAATTGTCCCCGTGCCTTTTCCCATTCACCGGGATACCTGGATCTAAACAGGAATCTGTTTCCATCATAATGCCTGTGAGGAAGGAACAAAACAAAAATATTTCATTTCACCTTCAAGGTCTAACTTGAAAGGGGGATGTGTCGGAAGCACTTTACACAGTATAAATCAGCAGATATCAGTCGCCCAGTGGTCTCCTTCCTTGAACCAATACATTTTTATTTCTACTTACCTTTTCTATATTTTGAATATCATTTGGAAAAAAAATGACAGCACTCTTTTTCTACATTGTTTCCCCTCAGAGGCTGGCATTTGAGGAATATTTCCACCTGTCAGTTTCACATGCATTCGGATCTATTATTTGGCCGCTGATAAACCTCTGATAGCCATCTAAAAGTCTGAAAAATGGGAACACTTTGACACGAATGAGTTTCATATATATCAGGCATAATGTCAGAGGTAATTTATTGGGAGTTGTGAATATTATTTGAGAATCATCTCATGTTCCCTCTTGCCCACATTTCTCATTCTTCTGTCTCTACTGCAGCACATTACATTATAATAAATATGTTAAATTACTGCTGAAAAAGAGCAACTGGAGAATATTTGTCAAGCCATTTAGTTTTTATAAGGATACCATTTGCATTTTTCAGTTAAGTTCATGGGGGTAAAAAGTGATAACATTTAATTTTACACACAGACCTATTTGTAAATTTGCAATAATACAAAACAAGCAGGCACATGGATACGTGCTATATTTCTAACAAGCAGTGCTAAATTTATTAAAAATGAGGTTTTGGAACAAGGATTGGTGTATTTAACACTCCAATCAAAACTGCATTTGAGCAGCAGGGCACAACAAAATCAGATTTCAAAACAAACTAATTCAAAGGGAAAGGGAGCAAATGATTAAGGGGCCACTCTGCCCCACCACACCCCCTCATGACTAATGAGTAGACTATACAAAGGGCATCCACCTCTCTTGCATATTATTGGCCCTAGACAATATTTCTGCTTGCAACTTTTTATAACTGATAGCTGAAACATCACATGAGGCACCAACCAAAAGCATTTTAAACTAAAATAAACTTAAATGGTTGTAATAATAATAATAATAATAATAATAATAATAATAATAATTCAATTGCTATTGTCTACATAAGAACTGATTTAGCATTCACTTAATCCTTTATGTTTAGCCACATTTTTTTTTAATCTGCATTATTTTTAATTTTGAAAGTTTGGAAGTTTGAAAAAAGTTTGAATAAAAAAAAAAAAAAATGTTTAAAAGTGTTTAATTTATTAACAGTTCTGTTTTTAAATTAAGATAATCTGATTAAATTGATTACTTTCTGTTTATTTACATCTTTGCCTGGTAAGATGATTACAAAATGGTACTACTTCTGGTTTTACTTTTTCTATGAAGATATTATAAACGATTCATTTTATCATTGATACAACGAATATCACATTTGATTTTTGTATAGGTCCTTGCATGATTTTGAGGTGAAGCATCAGGGATGTAGTAAAGAGTAAAAACATGTAAATGTTGTTTCTTCGGTGGCACAAAATAGCATTTAGTCAGCTTTTTTTATTAAGGTTTACTGACTTATTATTGCAGCATTTTACAAACATGCCAAAATTAAAATCTCTGGTTTGACTCCAATTATGTTACATACACAATATAGTGTACGATAATTTTATAGTTGATTTTATTGAACTATGTACCTTGCCCATTTTAATACAAATAAATGAATTACTACATTGTAATTAATTAATTAATGTTACATACATTGATCACACAGGTGACAAAATCTGAATGTACATAAATGGGGTGAAAACATGCCAAAATTAAAATCTCTGGTTTGACTCCAATTATGTTACATACACAATATAGTGTACGATAATTTTATAGTTGATTTTATTGAACTATGTACCTTGCCCATTTTAATACAAATAAATGAATTACTACATTGTAATTAATTAATTAATGTTACATACATTGATCACACAGGTGACAAAATCTGAATGTACATAAATGGTCACTCATGTCAAGATGGGCTATGCAGATTTTTTTTTTATCTTTCAAAAGAAAAATGGAGAAAAGAGGCTGTGATGTTCCCTTTTGCCAAAAAAAGGGAAGAAAATATCACACAGTGTACTGAGATCAATCCAACTATCTGTAAGTGAAGATACAAAAATGCTGAAATACGATCTGTAGTTTTCACAAATAAACCGGCAGATCTAGGTGCAGGTAACATGGAGAAAAAGTACACATTGCTTATTTAAATATACTACTGACATTTTAACATTACCAATACAAAGCTGGCTGAAAATCAGCGAACTTGTCCTTTAACTGCTTTGAATATTAAATTGTTAAGTTTAAATGTCCTTTGCTATGCCAGTTTAAGGGGGTCTATTTCTTTAGACTTAAAAGCTAAATAAATAAATTAATTAAAAGACTTGCAAAAAACACACAGAAACACACAATGGGATAAAACAAGGGAAAAGATCTGTAGTGTTTTTTAGAAGATTGAATATTTGATGGAATGTTTGGGTTTCAATCAAGACGAAGAACTTGACAGGTAAGCTAAACTTCAATTGAAACATATTCCTAATATGTTGGAACTTTAATTGAAAGTGGCCTACTTTTACCTGTTGAGACATGTCTTCATGTTTATACACCCTTAAGAGCTGTGTTTGTAATGTTTGAGTTCAGGGAGTTGTGACGCACGAATGGGGTGCTTTACAAAGGCTATTTGAACATTTTTTGTTATTCCGCTAAGTGACACTAGTAGCACATAAACGGCATACTCCACCTTCAACAATAAAATTGACATATAAAGAATTCAAAAGGCTTTTATGCTAGTGGTGGTTTATCTGTTCTCCATTACACACAGGGTTTTACCTCTATATCTCTGTGGGGGGTCCACTAAAACAGATGCCAAATCCGATTTTTGCTTTTTCTGGCTTAATCCCTGTTAGCAAGTCGACAATAACTACAAGAGCATTAAAACAATAACAATGCTTTTAACAATAATGATTTGTCGATCTGTTGAGCCTGCACTAACAAACAAACAGGCCTTGTGTCAGCGGGACATTAAACTTTAATCGCACTCTACAGCGCAGTTTATAAACCCACCACCACTAAACACATTCAAAAAGAAAACAAACTTTATTTTCAGATCAATTTAATTATTCACAGAGGTCTCTTAAATGTAGCTTTTGCCTCTGGATGTTGATATTGGTCATGTGATGCTAGCACATACGTTTCTCAAAATATTTTTTAGACAACTAGAAAACTATAATCTGATTGTAACCCTGGAGAAACCGTTCCAATTACATTACATGCACCAGAGAGCGTGTCCAGCCAAAATGTGTGGAATATTGCAGAACCGCCCACCGTGGAGCGTGAAAACCCAATATCTGTGCATTTAAATCACTGCAGAGGAAAGATGAGAAGCTGACTCACTCTCATAGCGGATCTGGAAGCCTTCACTGGAACGGCTGTTGTCGGTGGTAAAGAGCAGGTACATGTAATTGCCGGTGCTGATGAGGAAGTGGGGGGCCTGAGTGCCGTGGTACTCGCCGATCAGAGGCGACGAGTTGGAGGGCCCGTCCCGAACCTCCAGCGTGTCGTAATTAACCTCCGTCTGAAACCTGCACAGGAAATCGGAAAGAGCGGAACATCTGCTTACGACCCAGGTCTTTAGCAGAATTACTCTAATGAGGGAGATTAAACTGAAACTGTACTGAAGAGACTGCTGCCAGAGTTGCCAGAAAGGGGACAGGGATGGGTGTCCAGGGGTTTCATATGCAATGAAAAAAAAATTCAAAACAAATCAATACCTGTCAAAAGATATCTTGATGGCATGATCCTTTCTGGCTTCAATCATCCATTCGCAGTTGAGGGAGTCTTTGTAGTACCCGGGCCAGCCAGGGGACAGTAAGACTCCTATGGGAGCCGTTAGATGTCCGCCACATGGAGCTGGGACAGTGAGAGTGCAGAAAAATAAAATGTCAACAGCAGCCCATCTCACAAATCCCAGCAGCACCTTCAGAAGAGGTGCAGAAGAGTAAAGTCTAAGAGCTCTCTTACCTTCACACCGGGGGACGGCCGCATTCCACACCACATTTCCATCCTGGATGACACAGGTGATGGATTCGGATCCGTGGGTTTTGATGAAGCCCTCATCACACGTGAAGAGCACTGAGCTGCCCAGTAAGAAGTGCACTCCAAAGCGCTGCCCGTTGATGGGAATACCAGGGTCGTGACATTCATTTTGTCCAAAAGCTACAGACATGGGATAGAAGTATAATCAGTGCTGAAGCATATAATACTTAATCTAGGTCCTGCCTGCTCTTGCCTGAGAAGATATCAGCACTTAACATTCATTAAGAGTACCTAACCTTCAATTAAGTCAACTATAATTATCTTTTAAGAAACAACTTACACAACTGATCTTGCCCAGAATGCCCAGTCTCATAAGGCAAATGTTGCAGTAGTGAAAAGTACCTGTGTGGCACCAAAGTGTCACTAGAATTTTACCTTATTTTGAGAATCCGTAACACACATGTGTGAATACAACGCTAACATACATGATACCACTAAACCTTACACATACTGTATATAGCCGCCTCGGTACTCTTCACATGATAGCATGTATTTGAATGATGCCAAATATGTAGGGGCAAATATGTATCGGTATTGTGAATTACAATACTCTGTTGTATGAATTGCATACATTTCCATAATTGTCCTGTACACCAGTACAGTTGAATTTAGCATGGAAACGGACATAATGCAGTGCATGTAAACAAAGCTAATATACACAGCTGCACACTCTGATGGCAACTCAATTTCTAATTTATTCTACAAGAGGCACATTTTTTGTCACCTTCTTAGAATTTTAATCCACCCACCATCAAAATGTCACTTCGGGAACATCTGGATTATCTTTGAATGTTACCTTGTGTTTAAGTTATGCTCTCATGTAGAAGCAAAAGCACTTTGTCAAGATTTTCTATTATAGTAGGCATTACGTAAGTTTAATTGTTCGTACACTGTGTGGTCAAACATACCATGCACACAGACATTAGGGTAAGAATTAGGGTTAAAAGCTACAATAATGTATGTAATACTGCATAATGCAAAGCATACAATATAACAAGGCATTAATTTACTTTGCTTTATGGTATGGTTGAATGCTTGATTCTGATTGACTGAATTGTTTAGAATTATTTCAAATCAATGAAAATATTTAATGCACACTACAATTTGTGTCGTAGCAGCATTAACACCATTGGGTGTGCATGAATTTTCATAATTCATCAGTCAGTTATCTCATACTTAACTTTACATTAACAGTTACAATTTCCCATGAAAAATAAATCTGAATCACGTGAACGAAACACAGACGTTGAGGCGGTGCGTGGATAAACGTCAACAGAGAGCATTCAGTCGCATTACAGCCTTCGTTTCTAAACCCTCTATTTTTTTCCGCCACACGGTGGTTTGAGACACACTCAAGATGGCTTGAAGGTTTTTGTCAACTCTCTGTTTTCCCTTAACACAACTCTGCAGACAGCTCACATATGTGTCGCACATGCATCACAGATGTCAGTGTGGAAGCTTCAATTATTCAATATGTGCACTCGCAGAAGCAGAGAATCCTGTCAAAGCTATTTTAGTGTTTTCATTTGCTGAACACATCTGTCTGCGAGGCCCCTGTGGAAGTGTGATGGCTAATGCATGCAGACCTCGCGGTCAGGGCTTAGGGCATGTACGCAGCTCTACCCCATTCCCAAATGACAGCCTCATTGTTCTTACGGCCATGCCTGATAGTTGCTCCAGCGCCACTTTGGGAAACATGTCTACTCCTTTCTGAGACAATGACATACCATTACTGAAGCAGCACTGTTGAGATATCAAACCACACAATCCACTGACACTGACATTGCCTACAACTACTGGCTCCATCTACCACCCCATTTTGTTCCCACATAGACATGCCAACACAGATCTCGGTCACAGTTTCATCTATTCACTAAAAATATAAATATGTTCAGTTTCAGCCAATTTTAGCTCACTGACTTGAAGTATCCCTAATGGCATTCTAACAGTCAAACTATCTTTAATATCGTTAATAAAGAGCAACGGTACATATATGCACTTAGCAAACCCATTTAAAAAATCCAAAGCATGTGTTTCATCAGTATATATGTTTCCTAGGAATCAAACCATTACTTTGGCATTGCTAGGACACGCTGTACCAGTTAAGCTACATAAACACTACACTGGTATCAAAGTTGCATTCCAGAGAGGGCAAAGCAAGCTAGCTAACTTTTCAATGACAAGCTAGAGGAAGTCTCACAATTCCCTTGTGTAAAATTACATACATGCGATGCTGCTTTAGAATTTATTCAAAAGAAAGTATCTTAATCATGCTGCCTACTTTTTGATAGAGTCTGTCTATGCCTTAATATGCTGCCTATGTAGGCAGCTCACTGGGTTTCACAACAGTGTCATTGTGAATCGAGATTATCAAGGTCTGCAGTGCACCAAGACCTAAATACTAAAACACATTTCTGTTTAAGTTCAAAGATAAGCTCATCTCAGTGGAAATCATATTTGTCAATGTAATTTTAATAAAAACCTAAAAACTAATTAAACTCAGAACTCTTGCTATGCATGACTATATTTTGATTCATGTGGGGGACAAAAAAGAAAAAAGAAAGAAAACCAAAGCTTGTTGCTGTAAATATGGAATCCTATGAAACTTGTACTGAAGGTCAAAATGCCCTTTAAGTGCTGGAAGTATGAAGAATAGCATTTTTCACAACAGAGATATGCCTAATGAAAGGTGCTGGGATTGCACCATAACATTCTCTACCTTGAACAGTCAATATTACAAATCAATCTATTCAACTTCAAAGATATTACTCTGACTTAAATCCTATGACAAGCTGCATACTGCAAAAACATAAAATAACCCCTTGTTCTAGCAAGATGCAGGGAAAAATAAGATAATTGGCTACCCCTGAGAGAAAATGATTAAAATGTGTTTCAGACTGAAAGGAATAATTTCTACATAAATACAAAACAATCACACAATTATGCTATGCAATGCATAACCAGGAGGACACAGCCAATATGGCAGATCTTGCCTTTCGAACAAAAGAGCCAATCACTAATCTGCAAAGTCACCACCTGGTCTTTATGTGAAACGTGGGCTCAGATTTTTCTCTACACTGTACTTGTACATTGGGCTAGAACAACCTAAAAAATACAGTATACTTCTTTTTTTTTTTTGAGAATAAGAAGCAATGTTTATGATACCATGCTGTTTTGAAATATGGTCTTGAAATGCAAGTTTGTCAAATACTTTTTGACATTTTGGTATTTCCCCATTCAGTTAGATAGGAGCTATACTTGCATGATTGAAAATAGCTGCCCGACCACATTCCCAAGATTGCTGCCGAGTGAACTGACTTGCCTTGTAAGGGACTTTGTTATATCCCAGTTTAATCTGCAGATATATTACCTTATAAGCAATCCATAAGGATGATTTCCCTGAAAAGGTGAAACAAAGCGGCTCTGTGGCATTATCAAACATTGCTATAAATATGAGCATCCCAACCAGCCCAACACAGCTACATTATTTGTGCCCCTATTGTTGCAGAAATTGCACATTTCACCTCTAAAACACAACATAATATTAAAATCACATTTACTTGTGTAGGTGATGTTAAACCCCTTTCCCGTGTTTGAGTGGTCCGACTGGAACTCCAAGCGCATTATATGCCCATTACTGGCGATCTGCGATGGTACATCCTTCCCAGAGAACGTTCCAAAAGTGGTGGGCTCCGGCATGCCATCGTCTTTCACAATAAGATAGTCAAACTGGGGCTCCAACTCAAAATCACTGAAAATGAGATGGATCCGATTGCCCGGCTCCGCTATAATGAGCCACACACAGTTCATGTTGTTTCCGTATTCCTCTGGGTAGTTTGACGAGAGGATGATGCCTGACGGAGTGGTGAAATTGAAGAAGCAGGAGACTGTGGAGATGAAGACAAATATATATAATTCCATTACAAAGGTTACAATATTTATTTTCATTCACAATAGATATGCTATCAGGAATACTATTTTGTCTCTAAAAAGATGAGAGAAAAGAGGATTCACATAGACCATGATAATGAGTTGTTTGCATGGTGCAGAAATTACGACATGTCATAGTCTGAGCTTCGTCAGGAAAGTAAAAAGAACAACAACAACAAAACATCCATTTAAAACATTAACAAGGTACTGCTTCCTCTTATCGCAATACTAAACAAAATTACCATTGCATGACAGGATTATCTCAGACAGATGGATTGAGGGTTGAATTCACTACAGTTGTGCCTGTGTGCATATATTTATTTATTTATATTTTATTTGTATTCTTATTATTATTTTAATGTCAATTTGGATTATTTTAGACAGATATTGTACAATATATTTTTTGTAGACTGGGCATATCTCTAGACATGTGTAGTCAAACAAACACACAGTTCTTAGTGAATTCCTTCTTGAGAGAAGAGGAGACAGTAGGCGCGCTTTCCCTACCATTGATGCTTAGACAATTTACACTGCACACGTCTGTGCTGCAGTGTGGCTCTGATACGGTCACTGAAGCTGATTGCGACCACTCAATGCTTGTGTTTATGTTTTTATACAGTCTATGGTTTATTCCAGCCGCGCCACGCACGTTTCTGAAGTGGCTCTCTTTGCTGCTTCTGTAAAGATACACGCATAAGCCTCCTTTGAATAAATATAGCCAAAATCCGTCAAAATCCCACCAAAATCCGTTGCCATGACTTATCGCGAGAGGCAAAAGGTTACATTTAAGTCGCATAACATTGGTTAATGGAAACACCGTCATTTCGCAATACTTTTTTATCGACATTTATAAAATATCGCCAAAGTTTTGCGCAAATCTGTAATGGAAACGCGCCTAGTAACACTTTCCAGAAACAGAAATATGATAATTGACCTCTCCTACAGCAAACCTAGGAATTGCTAGCGTGGACGGATGCCATTCGGCTTCATATCTGCCCCTAATCTAGATGTCATGCTTTTACAGAGGCGATACATTAATCATTCTAAATGGCAACATGTTAATTATAAGCAAGCATTTCAGAAAATGACTCTTACAGACGCAGCTGGGTTTGTTTCCAGACCACTGGTTATTTTGCTGGCACGATATTGTCCTCTCGCCAACCAATTCAAAAGCAGCCTGACACTCAAAGGTCAGCACATCACCGTGTAAAAAACGGTCCCCAGTTCGCTTTCCATATGCAGGGGCGCCTGGGTCTCCACATCCACCTTTCTCAATTTCTGTGGAAAACAAGAGAGCATGATTTATTTAATTTAAACATGTTGTTTTCAGCCTGGCAATCTGACCACCTTTTGACATTGTAAGTAGCATAACACGGTGTTGCTCTAGGACTTGGATTTTGCAAAAGTAAACAAAAAATGTGCTTACGGAAATGTATTAATATTAACATGAACTGCATAAGCCCAACAATATGGAAGAAATATTTCCTAAATTTTCATTTTTACATGTCTCTAGAATTTCTTTAAATCAAAAAGTATGAAAAAATTCTGTGCCAGTTAAGTAAAGCAAAAACATGTGTTTATAATTGGGTGCGTATATTCAATACATAGAAGAAAAATACAAAAAGCCAAGGCAAAAAAAATCCGCAAACCAAACGAAATGCAAAGATCAAAGATCTAGAATTTATTTGACATCAACAACAAAAGATGGGAAACATATTCAAACATTCAGAGGTTGACAAACCAATTAATGTTGCTATCCTAATATATTTATATTGCTAGTTGCCTTTTATCATTTGCATTTAGCATTACTTTTTCTGTTCCGTCCTTGAGAGTATCAGAGCAGTCCTTTGACACATTTTTGAATACTGAGCTAAGGCTGTATATTTCCAGGAAATGTTTTGGAAGGCAGCATAAAATGACAGTGACAAACGAATGATGTTCAGGAAGAGTTAATTTTTTATGTTAACAACTATGGTGTCAGCTCAGCAGCAAGCGCTCTATTGACCCAGCCAGCCGATAATCTACAGGGGATGAGTTTCCCACTTGCGGCAGATTCCATAACCTCTACAAGGTGTTAAGAGCACGCTAAATACCTTCAGTGCTGCCACAGGCTATTAGTTTAAGAATCCACAAGAATAGTAGGCTATTGTGTTAGGACTGCCAACTCATCAAAGCAAGCCGCTCTTACAAGCTGTCACGAATTCGGTCCATGGACTTCCGTTTATTCACCGTGATCAGCAGCAGCTGGATGCAATAATCGCATGCCAATGTGCATTGGCTCGTTTAGTTTACACTCGAAGTAGATTGGTCTCTCTAAGCGAGATCCCAATTCGTCGGTCATCCGACGTGACGTCTCCGTTCCCTCCTTCAGGGAACGAGGGTTACATATGTAACTGAGGCGTTCTGTCTGATAAAGCTTATTGTTGGCGACCACAGTTTTTGTAATGTTTAGAACTTCCGTTGAGGGGAAAACCATCCTTTGCCAATCTAAAAACTTTTAAATGAAGGTATGAAATGATGAATTTGAGTTTGATATCTACACGGCCTCAAACAAAGTGTCCCACCAGTGGGTACCGGTGGAAATGTCAAACATGACAACGTGACTAGAAGCACAAGTGTGAAATTGGGTTTACACAAAGTTAATTGGGTTTGTGTCATTGTGCTGGGCTATCCAGACAGTGAGAATTGCTCAATTGTGAGGTTACAGTTCACAGTGAAGAGCGGCTAGGGAACAACTCCTTTTCAAGATATTAAACAGCATACTTTGGAAAAACAAGTTCTGTTTTTTTTTTAAGGAAGAAACAAAGGGAATAGATAAATACAAAATAAAAAGTCTACTTAATCATGTTGAATAAATTAAAGTGTTTTCATATTATATTTAAGGAAATCCACTCTGTACTCAAACAACTATACATACCACTTGAATCTGGAAATAAACTAAATATTTAGAAATGTAAATAAGAAATATTATGCTCTATTTCTAGGTCCAATTGGTGACATTGATCATGTGAAGAAATATCACCTTTTCACTCAAATCATTATAATGATAATGTAATTTGTAACAAAAAAAATTTAAAATGAAAACTTGTTCACTAGTTCATATAATTTAATTAAATAAGAAATGAATGCAAAATAGAAACATTTTCATTAGCTGATCAAATAATTTAATACAATTTCTTAAATTAGAACAGGATGTAAAATAGAAACATTTTCACCACACTGTCATGAGTTCAGATCTTGAGCTGATAATTTGATAATGGTGCAACATGTCAACAAACTTATCACTGCATCTAAACCAACAACATGCCTGTTAGATCCTGTACCCACTAAATTACTGAAAGAGTTGTTACCTGTAGCAGAAGAACCGCTTCTCAATATTATTAACTCGTCGTTGTCTTTAGGTCACATCCCAAAACCATTCAAGCTGGCGGTTATTAAGCCTCTTATTAAGAAACCACAACTAGATCCTAGTGAACTGGCAAATTACAGACCCATTTCAAATCTTCCATTTATGTCTAAAATTTCAGAAAAAGTTGTGTCTGCTCAATTGTGCTCCTTCCTGCAAAAAAATGATCTCTATGAAGAATTTCAGTCAGGTTTCAGGCCCCACCATAGCACAGAAACTGCACTTGTTAAAATTACAAATGACTTGCTTCTTGCGTCAGACTAAGGCTGCATCTCATTGCTAGTTTTACTTGATCTTAGTGCTGCATTCGACACTATAGATCATGACATACTCATAGATCGATTACAAAACTATACAGGTATTCAAGGGCAGGCTTTAAGATGGTTTAGATCCTACCTG